TTAAGTAATTAAAAAGTAAAAATATATCATATATCATTATGCAAATCAATGTTTCTTCAATAAAAACCACATAAAAATAGCAAAACTTGGTAAATACCTCAGCATAAGGTAATGATAATATTAGCCGTTTCCCTACAAGGAAACATTTCGCATTCATTTGCCGAGCAACCAGTACTTCCTTCGGTTGAAATTTATAAAATCTTTCTCTTAAAACATTTTGTTTTTAAAAAAAGGAAAATAGGTTTCTCAAATCCAGTAGCTGTTATCGCTTTTTCCAGTATTGAAGGAGATTTCCTTCATAAACTTTCTATTTGAATGTTAATATCTTGATTATGTCAGTATTTTCTTTCCGAGTTACAAGTGCTATCCATTTATTTGTTGTGATGTGTTTTTTTTACTTGGTACTGTCCTTTGTGATTCTGCAGCACCAGTCGACAATGTTCTAAAAAGGATGAACTTTGCCAAGGCCCTCATGCTTTACTTGCTCAAAACCTTTTTTCGCCGTATACTTATATTTTTGCCGAAAAGATCCTAGCATTCATATACATGGCCTCGGTGATTATATTCGGAAAATCTCCCAATTGCAAGGGAATTGTCTCTTGAGTCCCCAAATGATTCTTTCGTGTGCTTTCGATTTTCGTTATTGCACTCTGTTAGCTATCTATTTTTTCCTTTATCGCTCGCATTCTTCTCAGGTCCGTAATATATTAGACAAAATTTCTGATAATGTACAAATGGCTCTTTCTCCACATCCATCTTCGAATATTTTTGTATTTAGTAATTTTAATGCTCATCATGTCAAGTGGCTTAAGCATTCTAATTTTACTGATGTTAGCCGGCATTCAAACTTTCAATTTTTCCGTTGCCCAGTTTCTCAGTCAAATACTGAATTTCCCTACTAAATTTGTTCAACAGTCTTGTGCTACAGAAATTTCTTCTTGGGTTAAAGCAGCATTCATGCTTTTTGTAGTTTCTCGCAAATATCAAGTGAAACCACAAACTCCTCCTTAGTTCACATCAGCCTGTTCAGCCGCTATAGCCCACGGGAATCACTTTCCGTTTGTACCAGCGTAATAATTCTGATAACAACAGATGCCTATCTGTAACTGCTCGAAATAATTGTAAACGTGTCCTCAAAGAGACTAACTCTTTGTTTGCTGATAGGATAAGGCACCTTATTCTCTTTAAATTCTACTCTTGACTCATCTGGAATACGTTTGCCTGACTTTCCACTTAGAACTGAGTCTCTATTGAGTGATATACATATAACTCCGTACATGGTTTCTGCTATCATTTCTTAATTGTACCCCCCAAATGTGAACTTGATGGTGTCTTTACAATGAGATGTACCCCTGAATTGTCTCCTGTTCTCTTTAAACTCGACAATAAAAGACTTGCTGCTACTTACTTTCCTGCTTGTTGGAAATTTTCTTCTGTAGTTCCAGTCTTTAAGAACCCAAGCGAACCATCTGATTCTTATAAAAATCGGTCTATTAGTCTTACACCCATTTTTATCAAGTACTTGAGGCTGTAATTAACTTTGAATTGATTAAGCATCTCACATTGCAGAGTTTTCTTTCAAATTAGCATTATGACTTTCACTTCTCTAGGTGAACTGCTGATGTGCTAACGCTTATCGCTGAAAGAGTCTGTAAAACTTAGTTAAGAATTGTGAACCTCGGACTGTTGCTTTGGATATTTCGAAGGCTTTTCACAGGGTTTGGTACACTGGTCGTCTTCACAATTTAAATGCTTATGGTATTTCTGGATAAATTTTTTAACTGATTCAGTCTGTCTTATCAAATTGCAAAATGAATGTTCTCTTTAATGGCCACTCTTCTAGATCTTTTTTGCCTAAATGCACGTGTTTCCCAGGACTCTTTATCCTTGGACCTACGTTGTTCTTATTTTTCATAAATGTCCTTCCTGATGTCATAGGCTCTTAATTCAGTATTTATTGCTGATGACACAGCATTTACTCCTGTCTTAATAGTGAGTCTGATAAGTTCGATAAAGTCAAATTAGTAGCTCATCTACAAACCTACAATTTGTTGTTAAATAGGGTAAGGAGTGGCTTGCTAATTATAACGCCTCTAAAATGAAACTGTTCTGTTTCAATCCTCCGAGTGAACCCTTTTTACCTTCTCTCAGTATGACTGATGCTAACCCTCAAGAAAGTGATTTATTTTGCCTTTTCGGTCTATCATTTTCAGGTGAAATGAAGTGGAAAGAGTATATTAAATCAATTACTAAGAAAGTTGGTTTTCTGTGTCGTGCTCGCCAAAATCTATCTTGCATATTTAATAAGTCTACCATTCATCCCTGTTTTGAATATTGCTGCCATATCTGGTGTGGTGCACCTGCTATATATTTAAAGATTCTTGACAACATCCAAAGAAGAATATGTAATGTTATCGGTCCTGACCTGGCATAAAGGCTTCAGTTCCTTTCCTCTCACCATAACGTAGCTCCCCTGTTCTGATTGAACTTTCCGTTATAGTACCTAGACTTTATGAATTTAAGCGCAGTACTCGATTGGCGGCAAGGTCTCACCATTTTACAATTGAAATGGCTAGATGTAACCGCAAATTCTATGCTAACAGTTTCCCTCTATTGCACTTCTTGCTTGTGGAACTCTTTTCCGGCTTCTTGCTTCTCAGTCAACTTTTACCTTCAAAAGTTTAAATACAATGTCAACCGTTATCTTCTGTCTTCCTAATGCTTGTTTTTTTTATTGTCCTCTCTCCTTAATAGCTTAGTTTTTTTTCTCATATTTTCTAACACTCAGTATGCCCTTGCATCCTAGTGCCTTGCTTGGGGTGTAAGGATTAATATATATATATATATATATATATATATATACTTATGCAATAAATATACCAATTTAAACTTTAATATCTGTATTATTAGACATATTTATAATAATTTATTTGGTGGGTTAAACTTTTATTATGTAACTCGTGAGTTGTTTGTATTGGAAAGAACTATATACAATATTATAATCATTGATATTTACTTCATAATTTCAAATATGTAAATATTGCTATGGGTCTGTAGTGATAGGTTATCTGCATAGTCAATATCGTTCAATTATTTTGCAGGATATCGCCTTGAGAGTCTTGATGATGATGTTTATAAAGTGCAAGCTATGATAGAACCTACACTCGAATGCTGAGAGCTATACTTAACATCTCATGGAGACAACATCGAAATAAATCACAGCTCCATGGACCCATCCCTGATATTTCTGCAATCTTACGCGAACGCAGAATGCTCTTTGCAGGGCACTGCTGGCGAGCCAAACAATAATTTGCGAGTGATCGACTGCTCTGGATACTTAGTGCATGGTGCAAGAAGGGTTGGTCGCTCAGCAACCATCTACCTTGGTCAGCTATGTTATGACACAGGGTGCCGCTCTAATGACCTTCCGTCCTTGATGCAGGCCCGTGATGGTTTGCGTGATAGACTCATGAATGTCCGGGATAGCGCGACCGTATAATAAATATTGATATATATAATATATAAACGTAAAATAGAAACAAAATAATCTAATGTTATTTAGTCATATAAACACAAGATTAGAAATTGTATAAAGTTGAACACAGGTTACAGATCAATTAAAAAAAGAAAAGAAAATCATTGGAAAGATAAGAACAAACATAAAAATTGATTAAGAATGTCACAAAAAAGAGACTTGAAAAAAATTAAAACACTATTAAGTGAAATTGGCCAGTAAGAAAATATTTGAAAGAGCTGGCATAGCGAATGTAAATAGAGAATGAAATATGTAGAATATTAACTTTTTAATAGCCGTTGTCCCAAAAATGGAACGGTGAATATTAATGTGATACAAGTAGAAACTTATGATTAATACCGGATTTTATAAACTCGTTAATACCATTTATTTACTTATTTACCATTCTCAGACCTTTTTTTTAGTCTGGATGTCGAAATTCCAGAGCATTTTGAGATTTGTACTATAAATGCAGAAGAGGCCAATTTGTTTATCCAATTCCCACAAGAATAATGTGTCTCAGAAATACAGAAAGAAACTAATTCTCTCGATATTATTGGTAGAACACAATCTGAGAAAGGCCGAGGAACAGATCGGCTGAAATGCTGCGGTTAAAACGATAGAGATGTGGAATTTAATCTGAAATAATAATTAATCTCAGAAATTCAGAAAGAAATTATAAAAACAGCACTTTGGTCCTGCGGAATGGCTTACATAGTTGGGCACATCTGTTATTGGCAACAGTAGTCGGTGTTCGAGTCCTGGTAAAAACAAGTAACGTCATTACTAATTTTCAAGTCAGGAAGGTTAATTCCAGCTTAAAAAAATTCCCGTATAATAGTTTCACAAATTCTATTTTCTGCACTGTCATTGTTGGATACTAAGCTGAGATAAGAAATTAATAAAAGTATGGGGGTACACGATAATTGCGTATCTGATAATGGAGCTAGTGATTAAAGTTCGAACCCAGATAAGGCCTTACCCGTTTCAATATTGGATTTTATTTTAATTTTTATAATTAATACAGAATTTTACGGTGGGTATTAACGGATTAGGAACATTAGCTAAAGACATGAAAGAAACCAAATTGCCACCTTGATGTAAAGTTCAGAAGTAGAAACGTAATAGTTAAACACAAATGTACATAGAAACTAATTTCCCAAGAGTGGTTTTAGCGATGTATTTGGAGCTACATTGGAGGGAACTAATGGCTAGATTAAAGGTTGAGTTCTTCACAGAAATAGTTAACCAATATGACTGAGAGATGAAAACAATGGGGAGTTGGTGTACTATTTTTCGCTTCGTATTGTAGGCAGCAAAATTATAACGTCCCTTCAAATTATTGATGATATTAAGATAAATGCAAGCAATTATTGTAAGTTATTAGACATGGCATTTTTAAGATGGTACAGGTCACAACCTAGATGACATCCAGATGCTTTAAGCTATGGTGTATATTCTTGGAAGATAATATTGCTTCAATTCTATTGTCCACCTTTCAAGAAATGTTTTAAGAACACCAAATCAATGAAATGGCTTCAGCTTCTCCAGATATTAACCTAATAGAAACCTAGTGGTCCTTTATTAAAACAGATGTCTATGAGAATGGAAAACGACATTCAAGCAAAGATCTCTAGGAATCAATAAAAATATCTGCAAGTCATGTTAAAGTCGAAGGAGTGATATCAAATTAATAAAATCAATGAAATTGAATGAGTGAAAAGCTAGAGACATTTACTGAATGTTAATGTATTTGTATTGTAAAATTATGAATCATATTAATTCGTTTTCTAAAGCTTATCAACACTTTCAGGTTATTTAAAGCCATAAAATATTTTTAGATTTCAAGAATTTTTTTTGAGATAATAATGATTTAGTGATACAAGTCTTACTAATTAACCCATAGGTCAGGGGAGAAGAGGTAGTTTCATACCTTCCCCAAGGGTATTTTTGTGTAAGTGAATATAAAGAATCCAACTGGAATTGGAAATCGATTAACACTTCCGAGCCATGACTCATTACACCACCCGCACATCCAAGATTACAACACTTGGTATTCCCAAGCATTTACCCATCTAGGTACTAACCAAGTTCGACATTGCTTAACTTCGGTGATACTACGGGAACTGGTGTTTCAACGTGATATGGCCGTAAGCCTGTAAAGCATAAACGTATGAAATAATAATACATTCAGGTATATTTCAATCAAAAATATATTTCTGTATCATATCTTTTGGATTTATGTACAAATAAAAAATATATATTAAATATATATTAAAATATATATTAAAAATATATATTAAAAATATATTAAAAAATATATATTAAATATATATTAAATTTGTTTGCATACAAATACCGGAAAACTACCTAAATAAGTTATCATTATATTTCAACAAGGATAGATACAAACTGAAACATTCGCGATATATTAACCATATAAATATATGCCAAAGATTTTACCAACATCGGTTGATTAATACTAATTTTATTGTGAAAGCATGAACTTGCATAATATAATTTGGCATAGTGTAATAATGATCGAAGTAAGAATTTTCTGGTTTTCATAAAATTCGTTGCAATATTTCGTATGATAATAAGTTATTGTTCCCAAGATATTCTTCTACTATTTTCCACGTGATTCATCCCATCAAGTTAAATCGACAAAAGCAGACAATTACGAAACGTCGCCATGGCTGACGCTTCGGTCGTCGGTGTTGTCAACGCCGTTCTTTTTACATGCAGACGACAGAAGTGTACCGCTTTTTAGCCTGTATAATTTTGTGATGTTATCCAAGGAAGAATATTATCAGCTATTCGGCATTAATGAATCTCTGGGGTGATGAATTGGAATTCCTCGTCGAACAGACATCGAAACGCATCGATGGAAGTGGTCAATTGAAAAAGACAAGCGTTTGATATTCCTTCCTCTTTCTTTCTTACACTCCACAACTTTTCCTTCTCGTCTCGCTCTTTTTCATTAAATATCTGTGCATTCTCTCTCCTTCCCTCCCTCTCTCTCTTTTTATTTCTACACTCATTTTCCTCTCTCTATAGTATAATCATTTTCTATTTTACTGACAAAGCATATTCTCTCTTTCTTCCTCACTCTCTTTTTATATCTCTCTTACACATAGCCACTCACTAACTCTTTCTGGCTAATCCCCCCTCTATATTTCTTTCTGTTGCTTGCTTTATTCATCTATTAATTCGCTTTCTTTTCTTCATTCCATTCAGAAAACTATCTTTTTCTAAGTTTTTCTTTCCTTCTATCTACCCACCTTCTCTTTCTCTGTCGATTATTTCCCCTTCTTTCTCTCTCTTTCTTTCTTTATTTCTTTCTTTCTGTTGAATATTTCTTAATTTTATTCTCACTCATTCTATTTCTTCTGCATTATTTTACTATCCTGTCTTCCCACTTCTTATCTTTTTGTCTCTCTTTCTTTCTATGAAGTCTTTTTTCCTTGTACTTAACCACTCTCTCTTTCTTTCCAATTCTTTCTTTCTTTCTTTCTTTCTTTCTTTCTTTCTTTCTTTCTTTCTTTCTTAGCAACTCTCTTCTGCTTCATTTTACTATCTTGTTTTCTCACTTACTCTCTTTTTGGCTCTTTTTTCTATGAAAACTTCTTCGCTTTTACTTACTAACTCCCCTTCTCTATCAATATTCCAGTCCAATTCTTTCTTTCTTTCTTTCTTTCTTTCTTTCTTTCTTTCGTTCTTTCTTTTGTTCTTTCTTTCTTTCTTCTATTTACAACAACTCTCTTTCTTTTACATAATCTTACCATCCAGTCGTTCCATTTTGTTTCTATTGTCTGTCCCTCTACCTTCCAAATATTTTCGGATATTTTCCCAATCATCGCAATCTCATTCAATTTCCTTCATTTTTATTCCATTCCTCCTCCTCTTTGTTAATCTATTTCATTAATTCTTCATCCTTCCCGCTTCTGTTTTACAGCTTCTCTCATTCCTTCAACGCCAACGGATCATTTTCTTGTTATTCATTCCTCTCCAACTTTGTCTTCTCGCTTCTATTGGCACCCAGCAAAAATACTTCCATCTATCGATTCTCAGGTTCATAAAAGGTATCACAATATCAGCCCTTTTTCGCTATAAGGCAAATGTGCAGAAACTCAAGTGTTATCACTAACTTTACCTTTGCTCAGATATCGTGAGTGGTTGAATCACACGGTAAATTTATTCCACCTTCTCTGTGAAGACTTCATTTCTGAATAAATATTACTCTGTAAAGAGGTCAAAATGCGATTAAGCTTCGTTGCATTAGGCGTAGATCTCTTTATAGATCTTTTTTATCTTTTGTAGTTCAACTGCATATAAGTAGAGAAGCAGCAGAAATCCTAATCTCATTAATAATCTCAGGTAGCTTGCTTGTCATCGGTTGCTGAAAAAGCTATAGAACTTATCTCTAGCGCAAATTGTTTCGATAGATTTAATGATTAGATATAAATGAACTTAGGTAAAAGGGATTTCTAAGGTTGTAAAAAATTAAAGGAAATCAACCATTTTTTGCAGCACAAGTTATGATATTATTACTAGTAACTTTTATTATAACCATCAAAAGAAAGATTTACCAAAATACATCAAAACATTGCATCCGCTTGAAAGGTTTTATATATAATAATACAACGAATTCTAGCGTTTGTGGAGTAAAAATACAGTTTTTATTTTATCGACTACTACATCTGAATTCTTTACACGTAGGCCAGGTTTCCGTGAATACGAAGGCTACTGTTCCGGATAAAGTTTCTGCTGTTGTAATTAAGAACCTTAGCCCTGAATTATCTCCCATCCTGACCAAAATTTCCGCAGCTGCATGGAAGAGAAATGTTTCCCAAGTCTGTAGAAGTTGTCATCTGTTTGCTTTATTTTTTTGTGATGTCAACGAACACTCGTTGCCACTTTTGTAATGTCAACGAATACTCGTTGTCACTTTCGTAATGCTCGTTGTAGTAGAGACTTTGTAATCGCAGATACAACTATAGTAACACCGTTGAACAATACTGGCTTCAGACGCCTCCGAATATCACTCGCATTAATAGTAATTGCTCGATAATACCCGCTCGAATAGTAACCTCCGAATAATGATCCGAATAAAGAAATAGTATAGTGAATAGTATAGAGAATAGAAGTCCGTATAGTAATAGAGGATAAAGTAGAAATAGCGATCGGAATAGTAATAGAGGATAGACTAGAAATGGAGATCATTTAGACGCCAAGCTAATTCCTACTTATGCGTTTCCTCTATGGTCACGTGGTCTAATTAATTCAATAATGGGATCGCATCTGTTTGCTCAATGGCAATCTATGTTAAAACTCAAGTGTTGGCAGCAACACTTTATTCCTATATAACAGTTTTCAAGAATGGTGGCGAGTGTTCATTTCCATCACAATATCATCTCCTGTCATTAGAAAAAAATCATTGAGTATATTATCAACAAGGAAGTAGTTGTTCACCTCACCAGAAACAACTTCCTTAGCGACAAAGAGTATAGGTTTCACTCATCTGTGTCCAATGCTGATGTTTTAACCGTTATCATTCACAGAATCGGTGAAGCCCTCGATGGTAGCTTTGTCATTAGATCGATTGCTCAAAGGTTTCTGACAGTGTGTAGCATAAACATTTACTCTCTTAACTATAGACTCCCTGGAAGAGTTTATGTGATGAAGTCCTTTCTTTAGATAGATCCATGAAGTTCATAAGATCAATGCAGGCGTTTCCTTTCTCGTCGGTACTATATATTTTTTATCTTTTTATTAGTGCTCTGGCTGGGGACATTCTCAGATCATTAGTAAATGTCTAGTCGGATGATGTCACAGTTTATGGACGCACTTCAATAATCAAGATAATCAGAGCTTTGCAGCTGATCTTTCCTTTAACCGACTTCTAACAGCTCAATGGAGAAAATTGGCTTTTAACTGCCAATACCTCAAAATCCAAGCTAGTGATATTTCACGATCCATCGCAATCATACATTGAGTTTTCTACAGTAACGACGAATGGTTGCACCCACTGAGTGTTCATGCTTTAAATAATCTAGAGCAGTAGTCGCCAAACATTTTTCTGGGCCACAATTTTCGAATTAAAATTTGCTCGCGCCTCACCAAATTTTATGTGATAAAAAAGTACATTTAAAAATAAAAAAACGGAGGCTTAAAGGAAGATAATCGCGGATTCGAAGTCAAAACATTATCATTGATAACTCTCTCCACCAATTTGCGAACCCTAGTTACTATAATACTTGATATAATACAACAATATCACAATGATAAATTCAGTTAATAATTGTTTATATCTGTTTATTGATACTTTTCACGTTATACTCATGCATATAATTAGAAGTAATCCATAATAATATTTTAAATTTTGAAATAATTTATTTTTCGTATATGAATTTTTTAAAAGTTTCGAAATCTGTGATTGTATTTCAATCATTCCGCCTCACCTGCTATCCTTTTCCGCCTCACCTGCTATCCTCTTCCGCTGCACCTATGAGCCTTGCCGCATCGTTTGAGAACCACTGATCTAAAAGGCCTTTGGTTTCACTCCAGACCTCAAGTGGCACTTGAAGATACGATCCATTGTTAAAGATTCCGAAAAAACTGCAGATTGATTCTGTCGCTCTATGACACTGCTACTGACATGTTTTATCGTTACGAGAGCCAGATTAGATCAAACAAGTAGTATTGTTGACATAGCCGGGTTGAAGCTGCACAATCCTCACCTTTTAAACTTGACAGAGTTCAAAATCGTTTATGTGGTCTTGTATGGGAAAAATTGCCCACAGACAAAATGTTGCCAGCCTATAGCTACTCTATCGCTATTTCCATGGTAAATGTTAAGGTGAGGTCCGCCAGTACAGACCTTTACAGCTACTTCCACAGAGTTGAATCACCTTCATCTCTCCCGTATTCTAAATGTAAGAAAAAAAATTCGTTGTTCAACTACTTTTGGAGTTTAAAAGAGAAAAACAAAAATCCTTATGTTAAATAGGATTTAATTAGAACAGCTCGAACCTGTAATTCTTTATATGCCCAATGTTATCTTTGTCTCAATGAAAAACTGGAAATAATTAAATTTAAAGATAAGATCATATTAAATCAAAGGAATGAACTCACTGTTAACTGCAGACGTAGGTCATCTAGCTTGCAATCTGGGTAGAAATATTATTATGTGTGACAATTTAATGGTATCGTAAGTTTGTATTACTATTATTTTTTATTTATTATTATTATTATTGTTATTATTATTGGTTCTATAATTATTTCATTTATATCCATGCACACACACGCGCACACACACAAACACACACATAAATATATAGTTTTTTATCTGGATAATAGTCATTCATTTTTATTTACTCTTATTTGCTAATGATTTAACATGATATAGATTATTACGTTGAAATTGAAAAGTTGGGATAATTCAGGAATTAATCTTGCATGGAATCTAAATTTATTGCGGTTATCTTGGTAAGCATGTTTGTATGTATGTTAGTATATTTGTTTATACTTTTGTTTTATATGGGTGTATTTTTCTAGGTGCATGTATTTCTGCATGTGTGTCTATGTGTTATTTTTTCTGTTTTTATATGTATGTTTGTATGTGGGTGTTTAGGTTTGTGTATTTATATATATTTTTATATATATCTTTGTGATTGTGTTTGCGTTTATGTATATATCTATATGTATTTATGCATATATTTGTGTGTACTCAGGTATGTCAGTGTGTTTTTTATTTTTGTTTATATACTGTTTTTGTATGTGTACGTGTTATGAACTTGCGGATTTAGTTATCCGTTTTTTTTTATATATGTATACGTATATGTGTGGCTGTTTATATGTGTGTATGTATATATATCTTTTCTTTTATTTATTTAGTTCGTTGATAACCTGATATTCGATTACCACCACTTTTTACCTATATATTTGTTCATGTATGTAATATTTTAATATGTAGTTTGTGTCTTTTTATTATTGTATTTGTGCTTGAATCTTGGTGAGTTCGTTTTATTTGTATATGGCTACGGGTGTGTGATTGCTTGTATTTGCTTTTACTTGTATACGCTTGTTTCGGATGTAATTTCCTTTTACTTTTTTGTTTGTACTTCTTTTCCTATTTATTCTTTATTTTTACTTTCCTTTTCCCTTTTTTTCTTTCTTTCATTTTCTTCTTCTATTTCCTGTGCCATTCTTATATTTGCGTGCACATATGTTTAGTTATATTTATGTGTCTGTGTATTAGGATGCTAATGTGTTTGTTGTGTCGTCTGCATTATCTAATTCACACGTGCCTTAGGTTTGTAGCGTTTATTGATACTTTTCACGTCAGCGTCGAATTTACCGGATAACTTTGCATTTAACTACGATTAGTAATAATATATATATATAATAATTTTTTTTCTTTTTCTCTGTTCCCTTTCTGAATAGCTTCGTAATATTTTAAACCTAATTCTCGGTTTAATTTAGAATTTGAAATTTGTAATTTTTAATTTTTAAAACTTAATTATTTCATATTGATTTCTAGTTTTGTCTAACATTAAATTTGATCAACTAAAGGTTTGTATTTAGAATACACAGTGACGTTTTTGAATTTTCATATACTTGTATTTTGATTGATCGTCATAGGTTACGTAACAATGTTTCCCCTATTGAGGGAGTTTGATTTGGTTTTGAATTTTCAAAGAAAATCTTTATTTCGCAATCAGCACCATCACTTGATAAGGCATCAGAAGTGTTGAAACAAAATGGCTATTTTTGT